CTCTTTCCAAGGATATCCACTGGCCTGAGTCCATAAGAAAGGCCTTAAGACAAATATCAGTCATTTGCACCACTTTGATTCTTCCAGGCATTCAAATTGCTTACTAGGCTAATTAAAAATGAGATTCCTGGGCTCTAAGGTAGATGCAAACAAACAAACAAATCAATAAATGGCAGACCAGGAATGCACACCCAGTGCTACAGATGTTCATTACAGTTAAAGAATCACTGCTCTATAGCAAAGAACAGTGCCAAGCACCTGTGTACAGGTGCATACGCTGAGGATCGATCGCAATTGACTCTCAATCGGGAATACTCACCAGAATTACTGAGCAGTTGCTAAAACCACAGATGTCTGGACCCCACCCACAGAGATGCTAAACTCAGTTATGTGTATTTCTTTAACATTTCTTCGTTTGATTCTAATGTGTGCTCCTGGATAAAACCACTGAATTAATGGTTCTTAAGTAAAGAGGTGGAGGGTCTATATAGCAGTCGCCTACATGGACAAGATGCATCCTTTACTGTAGGAATTAAAGGTACCAGCAAAAAAGTAAGCTCTATAGAATTTTAGTAGGTCTACTTACCCACCCACCCTCCACTGCCCTTCTCATCTGTTAAATGGGGTAATAATAATGCAAAACTTAGATGGTTATTGTGATTATTGGCTAAGATAAGGCAGCTAATAGATTTAGCACAATGCCTAGCATCAGATTAACAAATGTTAGTTGTTGATTTACCACTATCATTACTGATTTAATAGATAAAATGACAAGCATGAAGGAGAATCCTTAAAACCATAGGCTCTGAGTAGTAGTTAAAAGTAAGTAATTTGGAATCAGAAGATCTGGGTTCAAATAGCACTATCAATGATACCTTGGGCACTTTATAAAAACTGGATTTTTTTGCCGCTGTTTTCCCATCTGAATAAAAAGAAGAATTTCAAAAAGGACAAAAAGGAATAATACATGTAAAATATTTAGGACAATATCTGGAACATAGTCAGTCTTCAATACGTTATTATAACAATGAGGCTATAACTCATTCCATGATTCCTTACAAACAGCCTTGGCAGGTCTAGTAACACATAAATATGTTGACTTTCTTGGACAATTCAAGCATAGTTCCTCTGCTATAAAGAGATCCTACTAGCGTAGAGAATGTTTTCTTTTATGTTCTATGAGCATGAGTTTGGGACTCAACGGACTAAAGTTCAAGCCTCACTCTGTCACCAAATAAGTCACACTGTGTGACTTTGGCCAAGTTACATACTGTTTCTGAACTCCAGTGAAAAAATGAGTGGTATATAACCAAATGAGGATTATTACATAGATCAAAATTTGAGAAAGTTTGTTTCTTGCTAAAAACAGAACAAAACAAAACAATATAACATGTTTGTTATAAAAATATGGACATAAGCTGATGAAAATTTATTTAGCACATCATAGGATCAGTAATCAATCTCAATAACTACCAGCATTTGGTATAAATCCGATATTAAATAACTGTGAAATTTACTATCACCTAAAACACTCGGCAAGGTTTTATATTTTTAGCCTCCCTGAAATCCTGATTAATATAAAATCATTGTATTGCATTGTGTTACCTTTTTTATGTTTCTCCCAATACTCATTCATTTCCTGACATGTAGAAATTTCCATTCATCAAAAAACCAGTGTTCAGTGGAATCAAAGCAATCTCCTTAAAGAGATTTTATAGTCAAGATGTTTTTGATTAATCAAAAACAAATTCATATTAAACAACAATGTGATAAAATAATCTGCAAAACTCTATAGCTCTAGTTAAATATATAAATGACAGTCTCCGTGGTCATTGATGAAAGAAAATGTCTAATATATTTTCATCAGCTTACCTCAGAGTTGCTCCCTGGCAGAAGAGATTTAGATTTATGCTGACTTGTACTAATCTCCTTTGTAGAGCAATTCTCCCCTTTGGGTTCATCTGGATTAACTTCCTTTATAAACCGATGGGCAACATTCAATACATTGGATAATATTTGAGATTTTGCCTATTAAAAAAGGAACAAAATATAACTAAAAAGCCTAATATGTCAGCCTAAGTAATTTAGATACATCAAATCATATTTTCATTATTTTATGACTGCTAAATTCAATGCATTTCATTTAATATTTAAAAATACAAATTGACATTTATATCAACCAATATAATAGTGAGCGCTGCCATCTATTGAGGGGCTAGTTTGGGCTAATATTATCCTAAGTATCTTAAAAACGTGTCTTTAAATCCTAAAGTCAATTCTAAAGCATACCTATTTTTATCTGCTTTAGGAATAAAGGAACAAAAGCTCTGAGTGTTTTAATAACTTGCCCTTAGTCACACAGTGAGTGGGTGGCACAGCTAGGAAGTGACCCCAGGTATATATAATTCTAATGACTCATAGCCTTCCACTATATTAATCTCAAATAAACAGATGTGTTATTTTGTGCACATTATGGCTAAAGAACTAAATATTGCTAATATAGTAGGAGCCTGAATAAGCGGTAATAAGTATTCCTTGATGATAAAACATCTTTAGAAAGTATTAACTATTCAAGAGCACACATCTACCTGTAGTTCCCTAGTGCAGGCAAAGCTTTTTCACATGTCCTACCTTTGCTCATGAGTTTCAGTTGCCAGGAAGGCCTTCCCTCCCCTACTATCTTCTTTGCCTGGCAGATGCCTATTTCTTCTGGATTTGTCCCAAGTTACTCACACAGGTCTAGGAATCTTTCACTGCCTTCCTCCCCCAGCTGTGTGAGGTGCTGATTCTCTGTACCCTACTCCTACCCTGAGTAGAGCCCTACCTACCCCTACAATATTGATTTTATGTCATCTTTTGGTGTCTATCTATCCCATCATAGCATGTAAGCTCACAGAAGGAAAAATTATGTCTTCCTAAGTCTTTGTAATGCTACTACCATGCCTGGCAGATAACATATAGTAAAAACAAGGTGCTGGGGGAGGAAGCAGAAGAATTGCAGAATTAAAATAAATGACTGAGAAAAAGAATTCAAAAAACCTTTTCATGTGCCTTCAGAGTGGCTGAACAGGTGAATCTCGGGAAGGCCCGATTTCCTGAGGACTTTCCTATCAGTACTATTCTGGTCTGCCCTAAGACCCTGCAGGATTCTGAATGCCATCTGAAGTTGAACTAAACTAACTCCAGGGGAAAGAGGCAGGCTCTTCAGAGGCTCTCTGAGAACCTGGCAGTAGGAACGTGAACAATAGGTCTTAGTTCTTATCAAATGTCCTCAAGACAGAGGAAAACTTCAGCAGAGATCAGACATAATTATTTTGTATTCTCCCATGGAAAATTCCTATTTTTAAATTTTCATCTAGTTACCTATTTAAATAGCTGATGACATTGAAACTTTCCAATATGACCTTTTGTAAATTTGTTAAGATTCACTGCCATCTGATTTTAGAATAAATCAATGTACATCAGATTAACTAGTGTTATTTCACACTGAATTTATAACTTAGCTATAAAAAATCACTAATGTGACCTATGCATATATATTGTTGTCCATATACAAAGCTATGATATCTGCTCCAAATTTTCCCAATGATAATTAAAAAGCCCATACAGACCTATGTAGTCCTTTTTAAAAAAGAAATATATAATGATAGTACAATATTATTTTCTATATTCATTATACTGTACAGTAGATCACTATGGCTTATTTACTACTAATTGTACTTAACACTGCTGAACTGTATACTTAAAAATGATTGAGAGTAACACTTATGTTATTTGTTTTTTAAGCATGATTTTTAAACAATGAGCACAAAGAAATGATGGGTGCATTTTATCATTTATAAATTGAAGCTAAATACAGTTGATTTAACAAGAAAAAAAGAAAAAATAATAAAAAAAGAAAAAAATTCAAGCCAATGGTAATGCTTAATCCTTCCAGATATACCTGTATTTTGGCAAATATTTTTTAAACAAAGTAATCCAATCTATCTGATTTTTAAATTCCCTAGAATAAAGATCTGTGATTTCAAAAGTGGTTAAAATGTCTAGTTTTCATTTTATATTTTTTTAAATATCAAAAACAATACAATTAATTTTATATAAAATTATCAAGAAAGAATTATAATTCA